GTGAGATGGCCCGGGAGTTGTGCCGCGTTATTAAGTTATATTATTATTATCTGGTCAGCCACGGTTCCGAATGCTGACCCTACAGAGCAGACTCCTCCCCAACCCCTCTTCCTCCCCCTCCTCCTATCCCTCCTCCACCGCCTTCTTCTTCTTCTTCTTCTTCTTTTTCCTCTTCCTCTTCTTTTTCTTCTTTTTCTTCTTCTTCTTCTTCTTCAGTGAAAGCTTTTGTATGTACATTGTAGAACAGAATCTGAACAAGAAATTTTAATACCCTTTTTGCAGCCGTAGAAAATACGTGTAACCAGCAGTGAATTTGGAAGCAAAACACAAGACTTCTGTAGTGATGATCTGATAAAACGCATTTAAATGCGTTTTACCAGATCACAGTTAACGAGACGCAGAAAATAAATGCGTTTTATCAGATCATTCTGGGATTAATGCGTTGAAAATAAAACACATTTCTACAAGGAAGATCTGATAAAACACATTCTTCTTGTTTGTTTGTTTGTCTTTAGCTCAAATTCAGTCAAATTTGGTATAGTCATGGTAAATGGGATATATTTTTATGTGGGATAATCAAACAAAAACAACATTGATGTTTGTTTGTTTAATTAACAAAAAACACTCAATCGCGATTATCTCGAAACCTTGATTTTGAGAAAAATGCGTTTTGTCAGATCACGGCAGAGTTGTGAGTGCCGTAAAACCTCTACTAAAACAACAAAACCAGAACATAACCTGGCAACATTGATTTTTACAAATTGTCTTTGTAACTATCCATTGAGTGGAGCTCACAACCAAACTAATCACAAGAATATGATGGAGTCATCAAAGCAAGGAAGATATTTTGATAATAATTTTATAGCTCCTACTCCTGTGTGCATACAGCTCTAAATGCTTTACACAAATCAAAGTACAAAGAACAATAACTGTGAGAAAATTGATATTTGCTCATATGAATACAGAAATCACACACATACACACACACACACACTCGCACATACACTTATTCACGTACACATGCACACACACACACCACAAATATGCACACACACACACATTGTTCAGACAACTTTCAAGCCACCCCTTCAAGACAATATGATCCACACACACACACTTAAATATAAGTACAGTGCTCTACTTGAATGCCTACCCTGCCTCTAGCCACCACGTCCTCTCCCATGCAGTAAGCTGTTCCCATGGTGATGAACCCCTTGAACCCAGAGATGGTCCCCTCTGACTTGAGCTGGGCGTTCTCCAGGCAGGTGATGTACTCCCAGTCCTCACAGTCATACCTGAGAAAGAAAAAAATTTTTTTGGTTGTTTTGTTAGAGTTTTGTAAGAGAAAGAGAGGAAGGCAGAGAAGGAGACGGGAGGACAACATTACAGAGTGGACAGGAAAGACGATGGGTGACAATCTGAGGAAAGCAGAGGACAAAAATAGATGGCGAGAGCTGGTTTTTCAGATACAGTTGTGCCCCCACAATTGCCCCAACTACGGGATAGAAGAAGAAGAGACGAAGAAGAAGAGTTTTACAGCATTTGCAACACAAATAGGTCACATAATTGTAGAGGCTTAGAGGTGCTACTAGAGAGTAACATACAAAAAAAAAAAGAGAAGAGAAAAGGATGATAGATGTTTGTTTGATCGGAAAAAAAACAACATAACTAAATAGTGCTGTGAGTTGCCGTGTAAAAATTTACATAAAGACACCACAATGACAGCAACATAAAGAAAGTAACACCTTATTAAGATAGATGGTAACAAACAACTCAAACACAAAGAACAATATTATATATATTATTATATTTACATAAGGACACTACAATGACTGCAATATAAAGAAAGAAACAGCTTATCATAGATCACAAAAAACAACGTATACACAAAGAAAAAAAACAAAACAAAAAAAAAAAAAACCTTAAGAAAAACAGGAAAATCACACACAGCTTGAATTCCGGAAACTTGTGGAGAAAAAGAAGGAGTGATACAGATGTTTTCAAAAGAAACAAATACTTAAATCAGATCCCTGAACAAAATCCTTCCTGAAAACAGTTGGCACTCACTTGGTGTCTGGAATCACCTCCCAGGTGCTGGGTGTGAACAGTTGCACTGTATACTTGGCCATCTCGGGGTAAATAAATCTCTCATCTGATTACAAGAAAAAAATTAATTAAAAACCAAAATATCGATATTTCATTAATAATTGATTAAAAAGGAAATGAATCACTCATTTCATAACCCCCCAAAAAAATTATTTAAAAACTCATAAATCCTAACCACTTCATCCCTTCAGGATTTTGTGCTGATATCAAATATAAAAAGAAATCATTATTTCTATATGAAAATGAAAATAAAACACTGATGCAAAATCAACAACAAACACAAGACCAGTTTTCCATATCTCTAAAAAAAATTTTTTAAAGACAACCACACCATTACAATGCCTGTTTGAAAAACAGCAATCAAAGACTATGAGAAAAATATACCAAAACCAGGAAGGGAGAAATCAGAATCAGAATTCAAATACTTGGGAAATAAATAATTAGCTTGCAAATACAAACTTCTTTCAACGTAGTCCCACTCCCGATCATCAGACTGGACACGAGGGAATTTGTTTGTGCTCTCTTTCACACTGGTGACAACTGCATAAAGCTGGAAGAGAAAAACCAAAGAAGCAAATAAAATTTGTACACAGTAACAGGTTTCAAAAGAATATAAAGCTGCTGTCGCCATGAAATGCTCTACCACCTCCATTTGATCCTGGTTTACTGGGGGGGGGGGGGGATCTGTAGATACTCATTTTTTCTGGTACAGTGACAATTTATATGAAAAGCACGAAAAATAAACCATTTTTAAAATTCTGAAAAAGAATAGAGTGGCAAAACATTTTGTAACATTTAAAAAGAGACAGAATATTATCAACTTACTGTATCATCGCCAGGCAATGACATCATTGACACAATACTACCTGGGAATTCATTCTGTGTCAAAATCGTCTCATTCAGAATTTGGTATGTCGAAAATCTCAGCAAAGTTTTAAAATTCTCACTCTTTGTTCATAATGCTCTTAAGAACTCCCTCAGAAAAGGATAAGACTCTTTATTTGTGCATTTATTTTCTATTCTCGGAACAGGTGATCATCACACATAGCTTACTTCACTTACAATAAAGCACAGCGGTAAAAAAAATTATTAATTCCTATGTTTAAACTATTTGGAGAGCACCAGTTTAAGTGAAAGATAAACATCATTCAAATTATAATGAAAAGAAAGAAGGAGGCAAAGACAGATCCCAAAACAGAAAAACTAGTAGATGCGACAAAAACTGGAGCTAAACAAGCAAAAACTTCCAAGCACAAGCTCCAAACAGCATTGACCCTTACCTTGCTATCACTATGGTAAGTAATGAGATGTGGAGTGCATCGTAACGGGACTTTCCGAATCGGCCATGGGGCATCATACGTGACATGTGTGGGGAGAACACAGATGCACATGTCCGACTGTGGGAGGAAAAACAGTTGAGGGTGAGAAAACAGTGTCACATTTGTTTAATTTTTAGGGCATTGAGCTTTTAATCTGAGAGAGACAAATCCCATTTTTCTGTCACATTATTTTCCATCACAGGAAATATTTAACTATAAAATATTACTTTACATCAATTTATACAAAATTAAATGTATAACACAGTTCCTCTGAGAAAAAGTTTGCATCAAAGTTTCTTTCTTAGTAGAAAACAAACATCTGCAAAGAAATGGTCTCCAATATTTCATAGAATATCTCCATCTTCTGTTGCTGCTCTGAACAAATTCAATCTATTCTTATCAGTTTTATTACAATAACATAACAACCTTTCTGTTGAAGTAGAGGAAACCCTTAGGACAGTTGACATTGTGGAAAGGAGTGAAGCAGGTGATCCAGCCGTCAATGCCCATTGGGTGGATCCTGAGGGAGCCTTTTGGAGTCATGAAGATCCAGTGAGGGAAGGGGCCGCACACAAACACCTTGAAACATTTTTTTGAAAACGCAGTGGTGAAACATTCAATTTCATGTCACTCTGGGGACAGCTAACTCGTTAAGACAAATTTATCTCTATTCTCTCCTAAATGTATAAGCGCAGTTGAAACAGTCTAACATGGCCACGGATTGTGAGAAGTAAAGTGGCCGCATTGGGCAGTGTCATTATACTATACAAAAATACACAGGGCAGGAAATGGGAACAGGCTGTTTGTACAAGTGATTGTCTTATACAGGTGGCCGTTACAGCAGGTTCAACTATATACGGGTGAGAGAAGTCAAAATCCAAAAATCTGAAAACTGTCAGACAGCTTTTACACAGACGACACTCATATGACCTATTTGTGTTGCAAGTGCAGTAAAAATCTAACTAAAACTAAACTTTCAGGCAACCACAACCCATCCTTCACTGGAATCGACCTCCCACCCCCTCCTTTTCCTCACTACCTAGGCTTGTGTAACTAATCAGAGGTTTCTCACTTTTACCTTGTCTTTCAAGTTCAACTTAATCCGAGCTGAACACTGAATCCTATTAAAAAGGCAGAGATTCTCAACATAACTGACTTTCTAAGTACTAAGTAATAATAGCCAGTTTTATAGTACTAGCAACACAATTAAGTCATATAAGTGCTGAATATGAGGTTTTACAAGAGAGTAATGAACACAAAAAAGGAGTAGGAGAGATAAGGACGACAGATATTTGATAGAAAAGAAGGAGCAAACCACACCAGAGCACCCACCAACCATCTACAAACCGACTTTGCCCGATGGCAATGAAAATTAACATATTTAGTGTGCAAGATAAAAAGCATAACCATCACAGCCCAAACGCCAGTTATAAATCTCTGTCAAAGCACATCAACACAAAACTTCTCAACCAGCGTCTGTGGTATAGCAGTTAGGTGCTTTGCTATTGTGTGCAGGAGACTGGAGTTCAATTCCTGAGCAGGGAGAGAATATTTATTGAGCATTTCAGTCTTTCTGCTGGTATGTTGTATCCCTCTCAGCCCAAGTTGGCCCTGGTGAGCAGGGTCAGATGCCCACCTCCTAAATGATCTAAATTGTGTCATCGGGAGCATACAAACTCTTCAGTTTAAAAAAAAACAACACCAAATGACTTTCGAAACACTTCTTTGAGAAAGTACATACCCCCGCGTAGCCTGACACATCCTCAAAATACCGAAGCTGCTGGATGTGATCTGGAGGTGTGTTCTCATCTGGAGGTTCTTCTTCATCATCTCCCTTCTGGGGGGCTGGGGCTTTTTTCTCTCGCAGGATTAAGCCATGAGGAACCTTCCGGAAACGAATGCGAAGGTGGTCTCCCGTAATGTGGGCATCACAGTGCGGGTAGGCTTCATAGATCAAGAGATCCTCGTCCACTCGGGCCTGCAGGAGAAAACAGAAATACAAACACAATTACTTCACGCTAAAAAGAGGCAGAGTAAAAAAAAACCTTGACCGTCATAAAAATCTCATACAGACATATCGCATGTGAATTTGTGACAACTATTACATTTTTATTCTTCTAATCAACAAAAAACAATCATCATCTCTGCCACAAGAAAAATGAGTAACTCCAATGGTTCTTTTTCTTACCCTGGTAAAGCAGAATCAAATACAGAAAGGCATTTTTGTTATGACTGCAATAACATTTGCATTTTTTTGGTGGTTTTAGTAGAGGTGTTACGGCACACGCAACTGCACAAGGTCATATGAGCGCCAGAAGATTAGAGGTGTTACAAGAGAGCAACAAATATAAAAAAGAAGGAGGTGAGATAAGGACGACAGATGTTTGACAGGAAAGAAGGAGCAAACCACACCAGAACACCTGCCAACCACACACATTTGCATTTTTCTGACTTTGCAAAGGCACAGCAAAATTTCAACAAACAGAGAGGAAAGGACAGATAACACAACAAAATTGTACCACAATAGCTGCAGGTTAGCAGAGGAGAGAGACAGAATAAAGCAACAAATCACTATAATATCCAAGCTGCTGCAGACAGGGTTCACCTACTCTCAATCAGAAAGACCACACTGACAGTGTATCTGTTTACTACAGAAACTTTGCAAAGTTGAGCACATTTTTTCCAAAATCATCAAAGGCGAGGAAAAATACCCTAACATAGGAGACCAACAGAGCTGACACCGCACACCTTCATCATGTCCAAGATACCACACATAGCGCATTACAATAATAGCTTGTTTCGGAGGAAAAAAAAAAAAAAGAAAGAAACAACTGACCATGAGGTATGGCCTTGACTTGTTATGGCCCAAACCAAACATCTGAACTTCCTTCACCACAGGCATCTCGTCCACAGTTGACTGCTTCTCTGATGTCCCACTGGACGTTCTGTTGAGAAAATTGTATTTTGCTCAAGTTGAAGACAAACACCTCGCTTAAAACAATATATCGCGTTGAGGGAAGAGCAGTCAGCCCTCACTCAAGAATAGTTATTTGAGAGGAGATATTCAAACAGCATTTAAAAAATTCTTACATATCTAAAAAAAAAAGCACAAAAAGGAGAGTTACCACTAGTGAAGATAACAGGCATTTTTTTCTAACTTTAGTGAAACTTCTGACAAAGAGCTAGCATACTTGGCAACAAAACAGCTACTACTGAGGGGCCTATTGAGCAACGAAGGCAACATTTTTCCACCTTTAAAATAATCCCATTTGAGAGGCTTAGAAAGAGGACTAAGGTTAATGTTCTACAAAAGATGTTGGAAGGAACAGAGAACCCTCTTACTTAAAGCAGCGATGAAACAATTGTAAATCTGCCCTTACCCTGATTTGGTTGCATCAAATGTGGGTCCACTGTGTACCAAGGTCCTCTGACCAAGAGGAAAGCTCTTTACAGTGTAAGACAATTTGTACTCTGGGAGACTGTATATCTGCAATGTTAGGAAGCACAATACAGTTTCTAATAATAATAATAATAATAATAAACAGCATTTGCATATAGCATATCCCTGCTGAACAGCCTGCTCTATGCACTTTACAATCTATATTGTGACATAATTCCTTTCAACAAGTATATTTTATAAGCAGGAGAGTGACAAGACCAATGAAATCAGAAATATTTGAACACTTTCCAAAATTGCCAAATCATAGTTCAAGAACTTAACAGGCAAACGATATGTGGATATGAAATGTTACTAAAGCAAACTGTACAATAAGGACTTTGAAATCAATAGATTTTAAGCAGGTCAAGAATAAAGCTGGATATGAGCAAACTTAAATTCTGATGCTCATAAAGCAATTTTTCAACATTTTTAGACCATCGAAATGCTTTTATTCTGGAGGTCAATTGATTGAGACCACAAAATCAAACGCAAGGAAAATTTAGATTCAACCTGAGCATGAACAATGCATGCCTTCATCCTACCTAAAAACTGCAAATGTCTCTAAAAGAGACTTGATTTTAGTTAAAGTAAGAGTATGCAGCTCTTGCAACACAATAAGGACGTACAAGTGCCGAAAATTAGACGTGTAGCAAGATAGTAACACACAAAAAAGGAGGAAAAATAAGGACAAAAAATGTCTGATAGGAAAGAAAAAGAGACGTAACAAATAGGACATACTGGCTCAGTTTGACTTGATTTTATACATCTTTTAATGTAAAATAAGGGCACTGTTATTTACTGAAACAATTAAATTTTTTCTTAATTAAGGTGAAACAAACCTGTTGTTTTTTTTTAAAATCATCATAAATTAAATCTGAAAACACAGATAGTAAAACACCTTGCTTTCCTAAAAAAAATTTTTTTTACTGATAACAGCATTTTCGTCCCAAGACACTATTAATGAAACACTCACTGACATCAACAAAGCTCACCTCAAGCTGGCCGTTTACTCTTGACACCAACAGCCAAGAGGTGGGTTTGATTTCTTTCTTTTCTTTCTTCACCCTGTAAAAGTGAGAAGAAAAAAAATGTGCAGAATGAAAACGGTTTAACTGCATTAGCAATACTATAAAGTTATTTAAGAGGCAGGCCCCCCCATTTTCAGGTCCATCTTCAACAGAACAGATCCAAATGGAAACATTTGTGTAAGGTGCCTTTCCCAAACACAATGTTGATCTGAACTGAGTTTTCAACCCCCCAAGCTAGCAGTCTCACAATTATAAATCCGGCAGCCTAACCGCTCGGTCTCATTATAAGAATACATTTGATTATTTCAGTACTGAAATTTTATGATGTTGATAGTCAGTTTTTAAAAAACGCTGTCTAGAAAACAAAACACTTAGTGCATGATTTCTGACTGGAAAACCCTTATGGTGTGTACAAAATTTATTAGGCATCATTTCTTTCAAGTCTGTAAATTTGTATACAACATAAGGAGATGATTTTTTAATACTCAATAGAAAAACAAATATCAGACATACCCATCAGAACCTTCAGCATTGACTTTAACATCTTCCGAGGCAGCAGCAAACGATGTATCACCATACAGCATCTCATCTTCATCATCAATGTCACTGAAAAAATACAGAAGTTTATATCAGAATTTGGCAACTTAAATGTGCTACAAAGTCCACAGATCGGACAGGTTTCATTTCTCAAAACAAAAGGTACTGCCATCATTCTACATGTAGTTTCAACTTTCCTACTGTGACAGTGACAAGTACAGCCAAATCTGCTGTTACAGCCACCTGTATAAGACAATTTCCTGTACAAACGACCACTTCCCATTTCATCCCTTGTATAGTTTTTACATTATAATGACACTGAGAGACAGTCATTTGTCCATGAAAGCACCTTTATTTCTCAACAAAGGGTTGCCGTTTCAGAGTTTCCACTGTAGCTCTCAGCAAATAAAGGAGAAAACAAAACTTTAGACAAGGACAATAATAAGAATTAAAAGTAACCAAAGTGCAGAACACACATGAGCACCCACTTAGAACCCACATAGTTCAGCAGTTGAATCCGCAATAACAAAGACAGACTGACTAACGCAGAATAATTGGTTAACTCTTTAACCATGCAATTTAAAATCACGTTTCCGCGTTATTCTCTCGTGTTTGTGAAAATGCGACCCGACATATTACGTTTTTAAAACCGCTTGTTTCATGTCAAACTGATCTATAAAGCATTACCGAGACATAGAATAAATTAATCTTTGACTTTCGGGTCAAACTAAAGGCTTGTTAGCTCGTACTTTTATATATTCGGCCCGTACCATAATACAATAATAACTTCGCATCGGACGGTGGTACCATCCAGCCATGGTTACGGACCTCGACTACCGGACTTTGCCACCGTCCAGACATGGTTAAAGAGTTAAATTGAAAAGAAGTAAATGGATTTAATCACATACACAGGGTGTAAGACGGGAACTTTATCAGCCGGGCGAATTTTCTCGGTAGTAGAGCCTGAGCCACCAGAACCCTGTCTGATGTTGTCTGTTGTGAACAATCCACTGAAGTCTCTGTACGTAGCTACGGCAACCACACGAGGAGTCTGAAAACAATCAAGGTACAATAATAAACCAATGGAATGGTGACAAAGCACTGAGGTCTTAGACACACACACAAAGAGGGGGGAAGAGAAAGTAGTATTATTACATTTAGAAACACAGCAAGCTCAAATATAAATTAAATGAGGGAACGATTTAAACCACATCTTTATTATTATCAAATAACCAACAAATAATGCAAGCAGCTGAGCCTTTACATTTAAAAAATCAACAACTAAGAACGTTAAATTTGTATTTTAAGTTAGAAAAGTACCCATATAAGCAACATGTCTTCGAAATCTTTTTCAGGAGCATTCAATGCAAAATACAATCGAGATGTGCTCATCACTATTTGTGACAAATTGCACAATCCTCACCTGAGCGACAGGCGTCTTGCTGGCGGACAGCCTGGCCCCACCCACCAGGCGGTCGTCGCGCAGTGTGAACATCATGATCTGTCCCTCCACGCCCATCACCACCACGTGCGGGTCGCACACTGAGCAGCTCTGGATGGAGGAGCCCAGGTCGACAGGAATGTGCTGGATCTGTTTGACTGAAAGAGCAAATAGGGACATACAGTAAATTACAATCTACAGTAATGTGTTAGATCTGTTGGCAGGAGCAGATACTGACAAACAGTAAATTACAATCCACAGGAATGTATTGGATCTGTTTGACTGCAAGAGAAAATACGAACATACAGTTAATCTTGATTGCTTGAAAATGTTTTATGTACCCTCCCCCTGTGTCATCAATCCATGCATGTACACATGCTCATATGCACGAACACTCACATGCACGCAGACATACACACACACACACACAAACACACATATACAAACACTTAGATTTAAGCATACGTTTCTATTTATCCACCAAATATCAAACAGTTTCTTTAAATGTCAATGTTGATCAAGAATGAAGTGTGGATGGTTGGCCGGTGCTTTGGTATGGTTTGCTCCTTCTTTCGGATCAAACATTTTTCGTTCTTATCTCTCCTCCCTATTTTTCTGTTTGTTAGTCTCTTGTAATACCTTTCATTCTCGGCACTTATACGAGCTAATCATGTTGCAAGTGCCATAAAACGCTTACTAAAACATAAAACAAAAGCATGAAGCACTCACTGCCTTCCAGAAGCCTCATGGCTGTCGGGGACACCTGCAGGATGTAGCGGTTCTCACCGATGTTGCCAACAAACACTGTGGCAGTCTGAGTGCTGAAGCCGCTGTGGTCCAGCTCATTTATCTCACTGCCAGTCTGCAGAACCTGAGAAAGTGTACATTTGGAAAAAATTCATTACATGACATAAACTGATTTTTGGAGGGAGGGAGGGAGGGAGGGAGAGAGAGAGAGAGAAAGAGAGAGAGAGAGACAGAGAGAGAGAGAGAGAGAGAGAGAGAGAGAGAGAGAGAGAGAGAGAGAGACAGAGAGAGAGAGAGACAGAGACAGAGAGAGGGAGAGAGAGGGAGAGAGAGAGAGAGAAAAGGAGGGAGAGTGTGTGTGTGAGAGAGAGAAAGAGAGAGAGAAAGAAGGAGGGAGAGAGAAAGAGAAAGAGAGATCATTACTTTATGATGCAATGATTTCACAGACACATGGCACTCTTTGCCATAATGAAACCAGTTCTTAATCGTTTCTTCACAGAGTATGGTTATACACATTCACCAACCATATTGAAATGCAAGACACAATCATTTGAAGTAATAAGAAACCATGAAGCAATATGACTTTTCAACAAGTTACAGTACAAGCTAAATACATGAGTGAGACCAAAAAACTTCTCAATCAAAGACCCACCATACTAGAATCCCTTCTGCTTAGCACCAGAAAAGCGTGACCGTTGGCCACCTGAGGCGGCGATGACTCCGTCTCTGTCTCCCCTTCCTTAGTAGTCGTCTCCTCCACCTCAGCTTCAGCGTCCGCGGTGGTCGACGGAGAGTACACGGTCCAGAGATCGATACAGCCGGACAAGGAGAATGTGGTCACCACCTGCGGCCTGATGCTATGCTGAGAAGGGGGGAAAAAACAAAAACAAAAAAAACAACAAATGTGTTTAGAATAATCTCATGGGGATGGAGCTATGGTCAACACCAAAATGCTAAATTTGTTGATTAAATGCATCTAAGTGTGTATCTGTGTTCAAGAAAAGGTCATGAAGCCAAAAATTAAAAGTACCAGCCATGACACTCTTGTCAAATTTAAAAAAAAAACTGCTGAAATTTCGCGTAGATTTTACTTAAAATATTTTTAAAAATATTACTAGAGAGAAAGATGAAGGAAATAGCAGAGAAAACAATATTATTTTTTGACATTCTTCGTCCGACTGCAACTCATCGGCACTCGATTTAACCATAGCAACTTATAGTAAATCTATGGTCTAGTTCGAACTTTTCTTCCAAGTTTTCAAGGCACTAAAATCATTCCGATCGCCTTGTTTTTCTAGATTTATATCTACTTTCACTTTCTTTGCCCCTTATGTCTAAAACAAAACTTAAAACATGGTTCATGTATTTTAACAAACACAAAAATAGCCGCAACACTTGTTTTTAGTGTCTGTTTTTTTCTTCTTCTTGTCCATGGAGATTTTAGTGTTCGTTTTCTTGCCCTGATTTGCGTGGCAAAACAACAAACTAACTCGTATTTGGTGAAAAACTGGATCGAAACAAGCTAGCAAAAGTTTTTACAAGCTACAAGCGACCTATTATTCTCAATAGAAACCTGGTAAGTGGTTCGGACTCGATTTTGTGGACTGGTGGACGGAAGCACGCAGCAGCTACGAATATACTCGTAGCTCGGGTGCAATGGGTTAAAGGTCATAGAAAAACCTAATGCTTGAGATAGTAGGAGTTTAATGGAGGAGGATGATGGTAAATACTACCTTCTGTATCTTTTTTTGTTATACATCAGAGGCATGTGTCTTTTATTTCTTACAGATAAGTAAAGCACGTCTGTACTACTGAGAAACTGGCAAATGACACCACTACCATAATAGAAAAAGGTCCTTTTTTTTTTACCATAAACTGTTTGCAAATAATGTCCTGAATAACATTGACAGAACCATATAACATAAAAAAGATATCAAACCTGTAGCACAGAGATGGCGCCATTCTTGCCATGACCTGACGTAGTGACCAGCTCAAGGTCAGGGTCAGTGTGAGAGCTGTACTCCTCCGACAGGAAGGCCGGCTCTCCCATTGCCACTTGTGCACACGGCGCGATGTTCCAGATGTTGTCGCAGACCTGAGGACACCGTGAAAGTTTAAAAGTTTTACATGGAGCTTAATAAGTCTTGAACAATATAGGTTTTTTGAGAGCATCTGAACAGAGAAATAAATATATATAGTACCACCAAACAAAATAAAAGGCTAGTTGCATTTTCGCATAACTCAGTCAGAGTTATGCCATATTGCTAGGGATTGATGATAATTAATATATTCATTTTCATTTTTATACTTCAATTCTACAAACAGGTATCCATTTCCAACTGCATAAAACCAAGGCACTTCCAAAAATACATCCTCTTACATGGGGAATCTAAAAATCAAATTTCAAATTTTCACCAAAAAATCCACATCCCTAATCAAAGGCATAGAGGCCGAACATGAAACCTCAAAGTACTTACGCTTACAAACACAAGCACAACGTTTCTGTCAAAAGAAAAATACTTGACTCTACTTAAGGTCTATTTTGGCTATTACAAGGCCTAGAATGCCCATATTTGCTGTGGGGCATTGAATGTTATTGGGGATTTGAAATCAATAGTCCAAAAAGTATATTGTAAATTGGTTGCTATGGAAACGCCGGCCATATAGGATTTTGTTTACCTTTTTCAATCCCATTTTATTCCCTTATTTATTAACTGATTCACTTCTAATTTGGCCTGCCAGCAGCAAATATGTGGCTCTTAAATTTGGTTTGTTTAATTTTTTATACACGCTTTAGTTTTTATTTTATGACACCTACAATTGCGTTGTTGCAAAAAAAGTGAAAAAAAAGGAAAATTCATGCTTTCTAAGCCCATAAATCAAAAACTACTCCATCAATAAAAAATTCAACGGGTCAAAATTTAGAACTAGATGCTGTTGGTATCCAGTGAAAGTTACATTGAAATTGAACATGTACCAGAGCAGAAAAATGGGATAGTGAGTGAGAAAATGGAATTGTGAGAAAACAGCCGATAAAGGTAAGAAAAGGCTGGAGAAACATGACGTGTGCTTTCTCAGAAAAACCTGAAAGAAAAAACAGCTCTAGGGTGTGGCAAGGCTCCCAGACGTTTCTGGATATTGCTCAGGAAATGTCCAGGTACTATAATATGCAATAACCCCAATTTGAATAATTTGACACCCAAACACAATTTCTAGGTGTCCCACCAGCCCTTAACAGTTACTCAGTTTTCTTGCAACAGCAACGATAGCTAGTCAATCAGAAATAATCAGAAACATTTTTTACCTCAAAAGTATAAGAAGCAATCATCGTTCCTGGTTGATTGTCTATGGAACCATACACTTCTAGCTCATCAACATTCTCAATCTCTGTGACGTCCGATGCTGAAAAATAAAGATATCTAGCGTCTACAAATCCTGCAGTATTAAAAAAAGGTGCACAAAGTAACAAATAGAAGAACAGAACATACAAAAGTAGACCATGTGTGCTTTTCTGCTTAAAAGTAATTCTGAATTCATGAACCTTTAGCAAAAGAACATCAAAACACAATCAACTTTCTCCAATTGAGCACATCTGTTGATACACACCAATCAAAACATTCAGGAACAGGTAAACAAAATTAAATTTTGAAGAGATAATGCACAGTACACATTCACAGAAGAAACAAACATGAGTGTCTCGTGAGCAAGGAAGCAAACTTTACACAAAAAAAAGGCAGAGGAGGAGAGACAAAATGAAAGCATTATAAATAAAAGTCAGTTCTTGGAAAAATAACATTTGTATGTAGTTACACATATCTCTCCGATGTTACATCATCCTAAAATAATCTACAAATATGTCCACCAGTCATTATCATCATAATTCGCCTTTTTCATCCTGGTATTGGGTATAGGCCGCCAGGAAGGGCTCTCTACCTGTCTCATTCTGGGTGATCTTCTCCACCTCCAGCCAACAGTGTCCCATATGCCTGGGACTTACCTCGTGGCCACAAGTAAGGCTATTTTTATCATCGTCATCAATGCCTTTCACCCCTTGCAGGGTATAAGCCATATACAAGCTGTCCTGGGCCATCTTTTCAAGCTCGTTCCATGTGAGCCTCATCTCTCTCATGTCCATTTCCACGCATCTCCTCCATGTTTCCCGTGGCCTACCCATGCCTCGTGCTCCCTGTGGGTTCCACTGTCGCGACTGTCTTGTGATGTTTCCGCTGGGCTTTCTGAGGGTGTGTCCCATCCATCGCCACTCTCTTAGTCCTATTTAAACTTCTATATTCTTGTCCTGTCCTTTCCCACAGCTCTCCATTTCGGGGCTACTTTATTCAGTAAGAAATCTACAAATCTACAAACTCTCTTAAAATAAAGACACAACACAGGCAGTCTCTCAACTTACCCAACTGTTCCAAACCTTCCACCCTTCTCTTTTTGATAACAGGTCCTCCTGAGCGCCTCTCTTCTGCCTGTATGACTGTCCCCGAGGACTTTTCTGTGTACTTGAGCAATAGCGAGTTCCCCAAGCGAGAACCCAAAAATAGATAGCTGTCTCCGCATACACACATCTGAAATACAAGAAAAATGAGTACAGGTATACCACAAAAATTTTGTGCAGTGACGTCTCAAGGTCGAAAAAAATTTAGTACATTGACAACTTGACTTATCTACAGAAAGAAATATGTCACAATGATAAAGAAAATCCGCAAAATTCAGTTAAAGCAAAACAGACCACACCATATAACACAACACCTGTAAACACACTAGAAATGCTACACATATACAAACTTATCTAATCAATAAAAAAAGATCAAAATCACACTTTGTCTTATAAAACCAGACAGGAATTACTAGTTACATGTTTAATATTGGTCTAAGATACAAATATTAGTATCCTGAATGTGTCCAACATTAGCAACAATCACAAGGGGAAAAAATTACAAAAAAAGTAAAAACAGGAACAGCATAAATGTGTACAAATCTAACCAAATTATGTTAATTGATCCAGTTCATCTCTAAGCATTTGAAAACATGCCCTAACTAAAATAGAAAAACCAAAAGAAAATAAATGAGAGAACATTCTCTCTCTCACACAACCAATGTCTGTAGTAGTAGTAGTAGTAGTAGTAGTAGTATGGGGTTTTACGGCGCTCACAACTGCTAAGGTCATATGAGCGCCAACCAATGTCTGTCTCTTAACAGAAATTGTATGAAATGTATACATTAAAAAAGCAATAAACCATAGATAAGCTTTTGCCAAAATATCCAAGAAAAGCAAAAATAAAATAATGGAAAAAAAAAAAAGTTAATTCTCAAATACAACCAATTCTTTTGTTTTAGTAAGAGTCTTACAGTACTTGCAACACAATTAAGTCATATTATAAGTGCCAAAGATTAAGGTGTTACAAGAGAGTAACAAGCACAAAAGAAAGGGAGATATACGGATGACAAATGTTTAATAAAAAAGAAGGAACACACCATGCTAGAGCACCCACCAACCACTCACATACAACCAATTCCTCCCCTCCACCCCCTTTAGAAACTGTTTGCAATACATACGCAGGTGGTGAGGACACTGGATGCTGCCCGGTCAAAGTGAAAGCCACGGACACACCGCATACCATCAATGACCAGAGTCAGGACGTAACTGGAGAATGAAAGACGAGAGGTTTGTAGCATTGCGCATGTGTGGGTGGGTCAACAAAAAGGTTGAGCAACAGTAGATTGAAAGCATATTTTTGTTTAAGTCTTAGCTGAAGTTTGTGAGCATGCCCTGATGTGTCTTGTTTTCACTACTGTCCTTGCGTGTATGTAATAAATGCACAGTTGAGAAAGCTCCTCATCTGGTGGAGCTGGATAGAGTGCAATATATGCCATTTACAGTCATTCTTATACAAAGATAAAGAAGAAGAAAAACGGGAACCTCAGGCACAGTTCGGCGGATGCATGATTACAAGTTTTTTGTGTTCGGTTCGACCTGCCCGTGTTATACTGTATTACTACTGCTTTGTATATACAAACACTCTCAAAATAAACAGAACCAGCTACCTCCTTTTTCTTTCCCATAAAAGCTTGCAGAAACTTAATTCAAGAAATTTCTTATCAGGCGGACAGAACAAATTTATCAAGGCTATCATGAAATACAACTGAAATCCATTAAACCATCGTGTTCAGTATTATATATTTCAGTTCAAATAGAAAACTATCTAGACTGAAGAACTAAACATGTATAATGATGGAGATACAGGTAAGACTTTTACAGCCGTATCAATCTAATAAGGCCGTTTATAAGGGAAAAAAACCAACATTCACCATGACAAACTTTTAAAAACTGAAATAAGTGCATCTCTTCTCTTCATTCAAGTCTTAAATTCATACTCTCCCCAACCCTCCACTATAAAACTTAAAAACGCCGGCTTAGCAATCATCAATATTTTTATAAAGGGAGCAGTAGTAAAATTGTGCACGCAAGGTTCTCAACAAGTACAGATCCACAAAAACCATACTCACAGTTCACCACCTTTGAGAGATAATACAAGTCTGTCGTTGGAAATTAAGGCATGGCGAACACAATCTAAAGCACAGTGGACATTTTCTTGGGCTTCTGCAAAACAAAACAAAAAAAGGCGTTATAGACACCCTAGGTATCATTGGCTAGAAAATCATCAATTTTAGTAGATCAAAGTTTAAAAGTTTTTTTGAAAACTTCTCCAAGTTTTAGTTTTATTTTATGAGATAATTACTAAGTTTTATCCTTTGTGATGTAGGAATCTCGCAGAGAAATCATTTTAAAACATCTGTTTGCTAACAAAGAGGACCTTAGGCAAACTGGGACAAAGGACAGAATGTTTGGTGCTGGCATAATATATATAATGAGGCATAAACCTACTCCTGCCTTATTTCAATACGTAAGCATTTGAAACAATGATAAATAAGCAACACGTTGGAGAAAGGAATATCATACAATTAACAAAAACATAATTCACAAGATATCAGTTACTACCAAAATTTTAGAACACAAATGTTTCACCCTTGTGTGACTACCATGGTGTCCAAAAAAAGATTACAAAGTCATATTAAAAAAGGAAAATCTGAAAATGCATTCAACCACATACAACGTTAACAATTTGAAAAGAAGTTTGAAGTTTCCTGTGGAGAGTTCAACATAGTACATTATTCGTTAGTTAAAAGAACCCAACGTGTACCAGAAACAATTCATATTTTGTTTGAGGTAAAGAAAAACACATCAGGATTGTAATGATCATGAAGTGCAGGAAAGCAATACACACAGATGAAAAACAAAAGAGATATACAGTAAAAGATGTAAAACCTACCAAGAGTGCCCTAAAACGACTTACAACTAAATGCTAAGAATGAAAAAAAACAAAAAAACCAATCAAGATATTAAAAAAACAACAGAATACTATATCCACAGAAGGAAATTATGGAAGCATATTGCATTCTAAATACTTACAAAATACTGATAATAAATTATATAACATAGTATGTTTTTTGTAGGAATGTCATTATACAGTGTTTGTAATAGTAACTTACTGAGGGGAAAAGCTGAAGATGAGTCAGCAATGCTGTTGAGGGAGACGCCAAAGGGAGGTACACTTTGGTTGAGGTACATCAGCGAATTCACGGCAAAGATCATCACTCCACCTGAGCATTGAAACAATGCATATTTCATTATAATTTGCAAAGGCTGCATTACTAGATTTATTTGTTGGAAAGACAGAAAGTAAAATGAAGATTTTTTTTCTTTCCTCAACCTAGCACAACCAGTCAGAACTCAATCGCTACGTATTGAGGAAAATACAGACACTATTGACAATTCAAACTTACAGTTTAAAAAAATAAAACATCACTTATATTGGCATGCATTCATCTTGAGAGACGATGAAAATAGTATTCAACAATTTTGAGCCACATTTCCTGGGAAAAAAAACAAACAAAAAAAGCTAAAGATATGTCAACTTTCCACTGATTTTTCATCTCTACCTGGCCCACATGTCACAATTTATTTCCACAGGACTCAATTATCAATATTCTCTTTATTACAACTAGAACGTACCGATGGGCTTGGGTATAGCACAAACGCTGAAAGAGTCGAAGGGCAAGTTGGCCTGGGACCAGATGATGGGATGAACCTTCTGCTGGATGTTGAGTGAGATGGCCACGATACTACATGTGTCTGTTCTCACAGCTGTGCGGCTGCGGGTCATTGAAATTGTACAAAAATCAGTGCAAATTAGGTAGAGAAATAACTATTTCACAAACTATGATACCTCGCTCAACAGCGCTCAAATTTAAAATGAGTGAAAACATATTGATGTGGATTCACGAGTCAACTATTTCTCACAATAAAGAGATTGTCTTTGAATTCCAGTCGTTTCATTTCTACTAAATGAAATAATTCAAAGACTTCAAAATAAAAAATAATTTATAACAAGAAGTGAAATTTGGAGACCAACTCTTTATCAAAATACTAAGGCTGAGTCTTCAACAATTCTATTGTATAAAAACCACCATGACATTTTCATGGACTACAATGATCTCATTATAAAAATACAAAGACCCACACTATCTAAACACTTTGTGAAATTTTTTACCAAATCAAAACCTTCATGGGTCATGGGTTTTAAATTTTAACAGCCTACTAAATATGGCATCTTTTCCAAACAAACAAAATTGACAATAATTTGACCATTAACAGGAACTAATTGAATACAAGTGTATCATAAGCCTTACCCCAGAGTTTCTCAACAACACAAATGGTTCACCAGTGGGGAAATAAAACTAAGATGCCATTTTTAGACCAACAGATTCCCAACAACTAACTCATAGACACAAAAACACATTTCAGCCACAGATGAAAGGAATTTTGTGAAGAAGAATGATGATAGAAAGACATCGTAGAGTAAAAAAGAAAAATGGCAAGATAGCTCTGTACTGTATTTCCCTCTCTACAAACAAACAAGCTAGCGACAATGAAAATGGAGGTGACACTTACCCGGACCACGTTGCCAAGGGCTCATATAAGATGAAAACAGTTGGCTCAAAGTAGCCGTGCAAGAACTGAATGTCCAAGATATTGATGATCTTCTCATCCATTTTTCTCAGGTCAATGATATATGACGACATAATAGGGGATCTGAAATATCAACATACCAAGTGTATATGTCACTAAATAACTCATAGAGACTCTTTATTAATGATAAATTATCAAAAACTAACAAAATCACGATATATGAATTCAAGATCAGCATTTTAGGAGATACCATAGTATACTGCATTTGATGCAAAGAGCATCTTTTTTACTTACATTAAATTAATTCCTATCATCAAATCAGTATTACTCTACACTCACTTTCAAAACAAATTAGTATAACTTTATGTCAGAGAAAGACATGTACATACAGAACAACAACTCAAAGCCACAAACAACCTACTTTAAGATGAACCTTCTGATATGAATGATGACCACTACAATTTCAGAGGGGAAGCTTGTGCCCAGGCTGTAGTTTGCAGCAAATCCAAATGAAAATTCCACAACTTATTTACAAACACAATTAACAAAATTTATCACTACGCATAAGACAGCTGGGTGGGGGTTTTTTTTAGTTGTAGAAACAGATTTGCGGTGCTTGCAAAACAAATAGGTCATGTAAGGTTACCGAAGATTAGAGGTGTTACTAGAGATTAACAGATAAAAAAAACTAAGAGAGATAAGAATGGTTGATGTTTGATAGGAAAGGAGGAGCAAACCACACCAGAGCACCCACACCGAACTGAGCGAGTTAAACACACAAGAAGCATGTGAAAACAACTCCAGACAAGCTTTCACAGACATGCACAACTCACTTTCCCATGGCCCCCGAGGGAGCGTCCAGCTCATCCATGGCGACCTCTTTACGGAAGGGCAGCACCACCAGGTGAGTGCCGTAGATGAGCATCCCAGCACAGCGGCCATCAGGGTCCACTCGGATCACAGGCAGGTGGGTGGTGGTTGTGTAGCCTCCCTGAAGCAGGGCAGAAAAGAGGTAAGAGATGGATCATCAGCCTTCACAAACACACAAATGTGATGGAAAGCAATGACACTGGCACATGTACACTCACAAAGTTGGACGCTAATGCAAACATAATGATATACACAAGCACAAAGAGAAATCTGAACTTAGAGAAAAGAAAAGAACACACAGCTGTGAGTATGAGTCTCATAATAGCAATTAAAAGCCTATCGTATTTGGAGGGAAAGTCCCCTTAGTTTCAATCATTCATGTGAATGAAGAGTGGGGATGATTTATTAAAAGTAAAGCAATGCACAAGTTGTCCCGACCACAATGACCTTATAATCATGTCGGCTCACTTGAAAATGTTTTCCATTCAAATTTTGCAACCAAGCTAAAACGATAAATTACATTGTTAAAAATCGTAACTTTATCAGCATTGAAAACCATCTGTAAAAGCAACATTCTGGCCCAAAACCTTGGCACCACTCAAAACAGCTTACCCTTAGTTCATGTTCCTCAAACTGATGGAGAGAGCAGGTTTTCAGGTCATGAGTACTGGGGTCATACTCCACCACTGAAAGCTGAGGATGGAAGGAAACTTTTTTTAGACGAACATAAACAAATCTTTTAGAAAGATGTAGCCAAGTCCACAGAAAGTTTGACCTTATTGAAGGGCAATTAATATGAGATTAAACCAGAAAAGAATGTTTAAAAAGAAAATTTTTTTTTAGAAAAATGTTTTATGGCACTTGAAACACAGTTAGGTCACATAAGTGCTGAAGATTAGAGATAGTATAAAAGAGTAGTAAGCACAAAAAAAAGGAGCAGAGATAAGAATGACAAATATTTGAAAGAAAAATAGGAGCAAACCATAACAGAGCAAGCCCCAATCACCCACTAAGAATGGTTTAAGTCCATGCCACTCGGAGAGGGTGAATAAACACTGGAAGAGACAAAGAGGAGTCTCATAGCTTGACGGTTCAAAGCGAAAAGACCACAGCTATTACACCAGTTCCTCAACACTCAAAATGAAAAATACACAAAAATGTCGTTGAGTTGCAAAGCTACAGCTTAGTGTAAGGACTCAACCATATGCTATTATCATGGGTCTTAACTCAAAATTTTTAAAAAAGGAAGAACATTCCGCGTGATCGCGACAGAAGACCATTTTCGCGAGACACCCACTATTATTATACTGTTTAACCCCATAATACTGAAATAAAAAAAACAACTTATCAAAGCAAGGTTATTTCATACCAATTTGAGGGTTTGGAAGATAACATCAAGTAAAAGAGTCACTTACAAAATACTTACAATCTTAATTACGTACAGAAAGTGGTGGCGCATTACTGGAAAAATTTTCTGATTGGTCTGCTGTCGCTTTATAAGAGTTTAGCGGAGAAAAAGTCAGTGGCAGAAATCCGCTAAATAGCGGAAGATTGAGACCCATGATTATGAAAAGTGATGCATGACGCAGTGAGTTAGTACTATCGCTGTTACATTTCACAAGAAACAGGCTAAGACCAAACTATTATGGAAATGTAACAAAAGACGCAGATCATACCACAGTGCATACCAACTATCCACACTAAAGATAAAGACTGAAATAAGTTTCCTCAAAACAAATTGAAATGTAAATTTATAAAAAGAAACAATTGAATTGACTGCTAACCTTGGCATCTGAAAAACTCAACAGTATAACATCTCTGTGTGCTCCACTTAGTTTGACAGCCTCTAGGGACTGAATGTTCCCATGTAGACTGTACGAAGCCAAGCATTCAAGCCGTGTCTTCTCATCATCTGAAGCAAAGATAGAACAAGATATTGATATAGATATCTTGCAACAACTGTAAATCAATGGATAACTATTAACTAATCTTTCATAGTATAAATGATCATCCATGTCGAAAACACTAACTAAACTGAGCACAGTAAGAATGCCACATGCATCAAACAGACAAAGTCCAAACATTCAATTCAATTCAGACTTACAATGTTACTCAAACAATTAAAAACTCACCACTTAGCTCTGTCGGCTCTTTCAGTATACCATCTGGGGTCACCAGCTGTGAATAAAAATAAAGCAAAAGGGTAATAGTACATTTCACTGGCCAGTCAAGTTCGGGTAGCAAACATTGTCAACTGAGCAAGTTCCCTTGATTATTGTGTAAACTGCAAACTCCCCCAATAGCTCTTATTCCTCACATTTTTTCCTACATCAAACTACTTATAATTTTCTCTGTTTTCAACACAGATAAATGATATCAAATAGTCATGACCCATCTGGCTTTTCCTACAAAATGAAAAGCAAATGGAAATTCTAAAAAGTTTCAAATATTTTTCAATAACACAATACCACATAAGACTCAGTGCTTGTTCAACACTAAAATATCATTTCAATTATGTACGATTTTTTATCAGCAACAAGTGTAAACCGTCCATTAGTAGCCCAAACAGATAACAGATGAAAAATACTTCAAATCAGTACAAATATCTCTACACAAAATAAATTTGAGACTGGGGTATTAAAATAAAAGAATATTTTAAGAACATCAGAAAGCCACTCCTTGATCCCATGATTCTGTACCATACTCTCATCCATCCATCCCTCCCCCCACCCTTCCTCTCGTCCCCATTCCCAATGTAACATAGAGGTGCTCAAACACTTAGAATTGAGGAAAGGGGAGTCAAAAGCTCACAAGGGAAACATTTCTTTCATTGTGGCAACATGAGGCATCTTTACATATGTGTCCCGACGTGGTGGAATCAGACGCTCGTCAATTTTTGGGCATGTGGAGTGATTGATATCATCTGAAAGCTTATATCATTTGTCTTGATTTTTTTTTTTTTTTAAATGTCCATCTAGCTTGAATAGAAGTCGAGATATTTGCGATTAAAGGAGGTGGGGTCGCCTGGTTTCAGTGGTAAAATTAGAGAGAAAATGGCCGCAAAAGTTTGGTAACTTCAATAACTTTGAGTCCTTTAAAACTGAAAATTCCATATTTTGTGCTTTTAAACAACATTTTTCATTAAAATTCACATGGAAATGTGTTTTCATATGAACTTAAAAGTTGTTAAGCCACAAGACAAAAATTCGATAAAAATTTTCAAACTGGTCGAAATGCCTTTTTCTTCTAGTTTCTTAAATTTGATAAGCGCCTGATTTCACCACAATGCCTCACATATATATCAGATGATTATCATTTCACACATACACAGCATTCCTCTCACTCACAAACAAAGACTGAGAGGCATGCATCTTTCAGTTAAATGTGATCCTCAGTTCCTCCAACTTACCTCTGATTCTGAGTTTAATCTATACACATGCAGCTGATTCACACCAGCAATAATAAGATTTTTCTCCTCCCAGCTGAAGAAGTGAGCAAATATACAATGCTCAATGCCCGTTGATGGGTGAATCTGTTTGTACATGCAATGCATGTTGTCTCAAAACTTAGTCAGTCAGACAACCTGTCTCCCCATCTGGAAAGAGAAATGCAATTGCAAGTTGGCTAAAAGTTAAATCAGGCCTAAACAAAGTACACAGTATTAATCACTTATGAATTTTTTTAAACTAATGAAACTAAATATGAGCGGAGATGATTTCTTCTTCTGACAGTGTAATCACTTTCCAGTCCACCCTTCTCATTCACATAAAACCATACACACACAAACATAAATTCACACAAGGGCCCAATGCAGTATCACACTACTGTCTTCAATCATATCCCACTACCCAGCACCAACCCCAACCCTCACATCATTAGATTCAAGAAAGTTCTAGCACCTTACACACACTATATACAGGTAATAGTGCAATAATATGTTGATACTGGCAGTGTGTGTAGTGTGCATCAAGTAATGCAGGAGCCAGCCTGGTGGGCTCATGTAAGCTGATACTCTCAATGATGATGGGGGAGTTTGTTTTCTAATGTGCCCGCACGACAATTTGAATTCGAGACAACTGTGAGGAAAATTTTGAATGGGCTTTTCAAAATTCAAAAACTTTTCGTCTTGGACGAGGGAATTTAGGGGGATAAGGAGGGGGCTTCACATGCAGTGGGTCGAACGAAAGTTTCCTGTCCAGTCGACAAGTAGTGGTCAAAATTTCACACCTCATAAATGCTATTCTAGCCTCTTTGATGATGGTATCATGCATCAGTCTTACACTTTGTTACCAGTGTTTGCATCTAATAGGACTATCGTAATCGTAATTAAAAACAGAAATGATTAAACATCTTTGTTTAAACCCTCAGCCCCACGGCTCCACCTCGCAAGTAATAAAAATCAACCAATGCTGATGCCACCCATGCCAAGCACATAAAAAACAATTCCAGGAACTTTTCTCTCGGTTAGCTGTATGATCAGGGCGGCAGGAAGAGGTCAATTAATTTTACACCTCTGGCTACCCAGGTGAGGAGAGATTCCGTGCTGACACGACACTTCAGCACTTTCAAACAGTGGTGAGATTTCTGATTCACACCTACACCACCCTGACCATCTACAACACAAAATACTACCATGGATGGAGTAACAACTAGAGAATAACTCATGACCCGCTATTCTCACCCCTCCCCTGGACATTGACAGTGATGTTGATCTTTTTTTTTTTTATTGTAATAGTTCGGCCTGCTTCAAGCATTGCATCCCATGAAATGAAGGAGCGCTCTTTCAGAATTAAAGTCGGGATATGGGATATGGAAAATTATGATGCAGACTTTTGAAACAGATGATCATCTTAACCAGATCTTTGCTAAATCAGATCTTAGAACAACAAAGGGAATATTAATATTTATCATGTAAAAACATTTACTGTCCTGTAAAAAAAATTATTATGTCTCACTAACGACGCTAGTGAGCGGGATGTGGGACCATCGAAACTATTCAAATTCAAGCTCTTGCATGACGGTAGAAGGGTTGTAAATTATTCAGACAATATATATATGAGCGAAGGCGTTAAATCGTGTTAAGAAGTTCAATAATTTTAATAAGACAAAAAAGAGCCAGAGAGTCAAATGAAATTCTCCAGGCCAGACGCGACCCAGGACCCAAATTTTGGGGATCCGGCTCCAATCTGACAACAATAACTGTGACTATTCGGACACGAACACGATCCTGTGCAGTATTAGCCCTGGTAACCTCAGCCCGGATCCCTCTTGGGTCATTTCTGGTAAAACGAAGGAAGGGGTGAGAATAGCGAGACATTTATAGGTTATTCTCACCCGGGCTGAGAATAACCACTTCCTTTAATTATTCTCACCCGAGGTGAGAATAGCCACTTCCCAGTAATAATCCATGCTCAACTGTACTTACTAAGTAACTACTACTGTACTTATAATGACAATGACTTAGTGACATTAAATAAATGACATAAATATCATATCTAATTAAATATATGTTATATAAGTCAGACCAATTCAATATTAATATTGACAAGGAAACTAGGTTCTAGATCTAATACTCTTCTATAAATTTTTACCTTCCCTCCCGCACACAGAGATGCAAAGCTATGGGGGTCTAAAATGCAGTATTTTTTGCTGCAGGAGATCACACACATTATAACCACTTTTAAATGGTCGAAAATCAATTATTTTCAAGAAAATTTCAAACCCAACTGAAAAACATCAAATTATGGGTCAAAACAGGGGGAAACACTGTGATTGGTCTCATAGAAGTCTCGGAAATTACTGCATAAGTAGGCTTAGCGTGACAAAGCTCGATTAAAAACCATCAGATAAATTTCACGAAGTGACTATTTCTCCAAACGCTCGGGAAAATAAACTTGACCTTTACTAAACCGTTTCTGTTGAACCAATCTCGAGATTTTTTTAAATTTGAGAGATTTCGGCGTCATCTTTCATTCTGCCATTCTGCGAGGACTGGGAGGAAGCATAAATTTTTTTGCATCGAACTCAATTTCTAGAGCTAGAGAATTTTTAAATGTCTGAATATTCAGATACTTCAAATTGAAGTTCAATTGTGGTTGGAGCAGCATTCCCGGACTATAGGCCTTCTACTCTTGAAAATGCCTTCAAAAGGTACTGCGAGAAAACAAGACTGCTCGACCTTGGCAATAACCTATTTTTTGCATTAAGTCTCCCCCAAAGCAAAAACTAAAATCCTTTCATATAAACAACCCCCACCCCCACCCCGGTTCACACCTATACACACACACACACATGCACATTCACACACACACACACATGCGCACGCGCTGGCCACTCCTTCATTTGCAAAAATAACCTACAAATCTCGAGAACGGAGAACATAATAAACCGTTATGAGAAATAGAGTTCAAGTTTATTTTCCCGAGCGTTCAGAGAAATAGAGCCGGCCAATATTTTATTACATCAAGGCTGTTCTATTATTTTGCGACGGAAATAGATCTAGATCTAGATCAAGAATCTAGTCGATATTCGTGTTCAGCGCCAATAAATGTGTAGCAGAAAATGGACATCAAGAGAAATCTGGTAGATCTCTAGATATCTAGATCTAGTTAAGAGTGAGACGGGAGGGAAAGTAAAAGAATAGATCTCGAGAACCTGTTCAAGTGTAGTTGAAACTTTTCATTAATGGAATTGGAACAGAAAGAAGTGGACATTTATACGGCAGGCCGTCAAAAAATTGGAAGTGATTATAATTCCACGGCACATAAATTCAGCCAATCAGAACGTCCGAACTATTTGTATAAATTATAATAAAGCCTATAAATCTCTTTTCCATAAAGTAACGCATTATCATTGAGATACAATTTAAGATACCAGTATGTTTAGTTAACAATGTATCCTTTTCTATCATTTTGTGCATTAAGGACAATAATGTTCAAAATATTTTGTGTGATTGTAACGAGAGTGAGAGATGTACAATTTATTTTGTGCAAGCAAAATGGAGAGAAGACTGTTTTGTTTTTTTCCAACAGTAGTAGTAGGGTGCCCATTTGCGGATGGGATCGAGTTGGGTCGGGTAGGTTTGATCACCCGACTCGTCGCCTGGAAAACAAACCCAATTCTTGCATTGATACACTTCAAGCAGAGCCTCTCTATGCCGTCAAAATATCAATTCCGATCTTTAGTCTTTAGACTCAAGACGGCATAATAGGTATCACTTCCGATGTTCAGACAGCATGCCGTGGAAATATCAACTACGATTTTCAGACGGCATGCCGTCAAAATATCGCTACCCAATTGGAACGGTTTCTCAGATGGTGATCTTATACTTTAGCACGTTAAATTCCCAAAGTCTACTAGATCTAGATTCTAGATCTATATCTAGATTCTAGATCTAGATCTAATCCCCGACTCAGACCTTCAAAACTTTGGTGCTTTTTCGGTAGTTCCCACCCCCCTTATTTGACCTACATCTAGATCTAGATCTAAATCTAGATCTAGATCGATACGTTTGATTCGCGGTGAGCTAAGATATCAAACCTTAAAACATTAAATTATGATAAAATTCAGGGGGGCATGCCCCCTTGAAACCCCCCTTCCTATTTTTATTGGGTCAGGGGGACAAGCCCCCCTGGAACCCCCCTACTCTTGGGGCCAAAACCCGTGAATAACAATTGCGGGGTGGGAACTACCGAAAAAGCGCCTGAACTGGGCCTAAAAATGAGCAAAGTGCCGTAATTTTGTCATATGAACACTGACAGTGGTTTTCGGTCTTCCATCATGACTTTGGAAGCCATCGAGTATAAAGGCCACCTCTATTCTCACCCGGAGTGAGAATAGTGCAGGCGAGTCTTGTGGCTATTCTCACCCGGTGCGCGTTCACCAAATTTTGCGTTCACCCTAAACCACAGAATTCTACACTGTGATTATAGAAAAATTGTAGAATTCTGTGCCGTGAACATACGCTCCATTACAACTGTAGCCTACTAAAAGCGTACAATTTTGTCTGTGGGCAGTGGAAAGAGAGAGAGAAAGAGACAGAGGAGTAGCGCGAGAATTTCCGGGCAAAACAAAATGGCGACCCGCGTAGTTCGGCTTGATTCGAAAAGTTAAATAGCTGTAGCATCTTTGTAGACAACCAAATTAATATACTTTTGTGTTTTAACATCATTTTTTAACTTTGTTTTGGTCAATTTGATCGTCCACACCGATAGACAGTATTCAGAAAGAGACAGAGAGAGAGAGAGAGAAGAGGGGAAAAGTTGATCTTGCGAGAACTTCCGGGCGGGTGAGAATAGCCACTTTCTTACGAAAATCTAGATATCTAGATTAGACAGATCTAGATTTACAGTGGTCGCTCGTTACGGAAAAGGGAATAAAATCAATTGAAGAATTTAACGTGTTAAAGACACTAAAGTAAACCTCTCAGTTCTGCTCTCCATCCCTTCTTCTGCTCCAGACAGATTTCTCTAGTCTAGTCTAAGTACCATCTTATAAATGAAAGCCCTTATAAATACCGTACTATGAAAAAAGGCAATCAAGAGGAACATCAAGAGAGAGGACCCAGTTCTTTGTTGACTGTAGGGCGTTGGGTTGGCTGTACCCGACCCGGTGTACCGGTGTACAACAATGTATAGTGTTTGTGTTTAGATTTGGAGCAAAAAGCGTGATGAACGATGAAGAGATGCTATCATGGTGTTTAGTTTGTACTGTATTTGAGCCAAGAAACTTAAAAGCTGGATTTTTTCCTTGCTTATGTTTTTGTAAAGCTTCTCAGTGACTTTTGACTGAACTTGCTAGAAGCAAAAAATTGAACAAATTTTTAAATAATCGGAATTGATTTTTTTTTTGTATTGTCAAGGCAAACTGTTTAATTTTAGAAGTCCATATAGAATCTAAGCCTGATTTCATGAAAAATCCAAGAAGCCTAGTTTCGTTTCTGTCTAAACCTAATGCTTGTTGTTTGAGTTGCTGATAGATCGAGCAGTTTGCCAGTCACACATTTTAAAAAGAAATTAACGATGGCGACTCACGAGCGGCGAAGATCTGAAAGTACTGGATGGCCGTCAACTTTCAAACAGAACCGAAGTAGTCATGGGTCAACGTTGACTTTGGAAAGGACTATAAATTTGTAAGGATTTATAAGTGCATCAATTTCTTGTTATGTTGTATCGTTTTAGCATGTGTGCACAGTGTCGGTGTGTGTCGGTTAGACTTCTTCTTAGACTTTGTACAGCACAAAGTAAACCTGGTCTTGAGAAAGAAAGCGTATTATTCCATTCTCGTAAAGTTTTAGAATTATGACAAACATTCTCCTCTTTTGCCTTGTTCTTTTCTTTTCTAGCTGTTTTTATCCTCTCACAACAGTGGTCTCTACTTAGCAGGACCAAGGCTGTCTTAACTCCAAATTCCCTATTGAAAACTCCTAACTCGGCCAACTCAACTGTGTTTGTGTACATCTGTAGACTACTGTAGAGGAAGTGGAAGTGATAAAAGCCAAGAAAAAATTATGTTATAGCACAAAAGTAAGCTAATTTGATCGTCTTCAAAGATGCTATGGCTATTTCACTTTTCGAATCGAGCCGAACTACGCGGGTCGCCATTTTGTTTTGCCCGGAAGTTCTCGCAAGATCTACTCCTCCCCTCTCTCTCTCTTTCTCTCTGTCTCTTTCTGAATACTGTCTATCGGTGTGGACGATCAAATTGATCAAAACAAAGTTAAAAAATGATGTTAAAAAACAAAACTAAATTAATTTGGTTGTCTACAAAGATGCTAATGCTATTTAACTTTCCAAATCGAGCGGAACTACGCAGGAGGCCATTTTGTTTTTGAAGTGACTATTTCTCCGTACGTTCGGAGAAATAGTACCGATCTTTATTTCTCCGAACGGTTTCCGGCTTCCGGTCTCCTGATTTTTTGCCTATTTATTGCGAGAGTTCGGCGCCAACTTTCATTCTGCCTGTGGTCTGGGATTGGGAAGGAACACCGCATGGCAAGCCCGCCTACAGACAACCTTCAGTAACACCCACCACACACCCACCACCATCATGCATATGTACACACACAAACTTATACACACACTAACTAAACATGATCAGTGGGCAACTTGAACGTTCTCTGCAATGTCTAGCTTCAAGAAGAACATGGCCCAGGCACCAGCAACAGACGAGCGGACACAGACCATCCCATGCCCTGACTGTGGACAGAAGTTCCGCCCCTACAAACAGAAGAGTGGCGTGTGGAACACGAAACCTGTTGTTTCATCAACATGATGATGATAGGGCATGAACTGATGAATAACACTAATAATAATTACAGCTACAGTCTGGCTAGTCTAGAGATTTTTAGATGAGTGTAAAAACTTGAAAAAGAAAGGTTTCACAACAGAATGCTCGACGAGATGTCGAATTTGCAGGGTTCGCCAACAGACGGTCGCCAACAATCAACATGGTGGTCATGATAAACAACTGTTGTATGAGTGTCGTAGCCTATGTGTTGACTGATTAAGCCTTTCCCCTTCATCATTGATCGTAGTTAATGTCGTCAGTCTTGGATCTTTTGCTCATAACTGACAATTAACTGGAGTTGATGTCGTCATAAAGAATGACTCATCACTTGTCGGATAACATCAATGAACTTTTAATAATTCAACGGGGTTACAAGTGATGACGACATCAATTGAAATGAAATGGAAAACACAAGACGGTGATGTAGAACGGAATGAAATGATGAGTGATCGCACTGACAAATGAATCTAGACCTGCATGCATGAGTCCCCGAGGGGCGCAGAGTGATGATGATGATGATAGGGCATGAACTGATGAATAACACTAATAATACAGCTACAGTCTGGCTAGTCTAGAGATTTTTAGATGAGTGTAAAAACTTGAAAAAGAAAGGTTTCACAACAGAATGCTCGACGAGATGTCGAATTTGCAGGGTTCGCCAACAGACGGTCGCCAACAATCAACATGGTGGTCATGATAAACAACTGTTGTATGAGTGTCGTAGCCTATGTGTTGACTGATTAAGCCTTTCCCCTTCATCATTGATCGTAGTTAATGTCGTCAGTCTTGGATCTTTTGCTCATAACTGACAATTAACTGGAGTTGATGTCGTCATAAAGAATGACTCATCACTTGTCGGATAACATCAATGAACTTTTAATAATTCAACGGGGTTACAAGTGATGACGACATCAATTGAAATGAAATGGAAAACACAAGACGGTGATGTAGAACGGAATGAAATGATGAGTGATCGCACTGACAAATGAATCTAGACCTGCATGCATGAGTCCCCGAGGGGCGCAGAGTGATGATGATGATGATAGGGCATGAACTGATGAATAACACTAATAATACAGCTACAGTCTGGCTAGTCTAGAGATTTTTAGATGAGTGTAAAAACTTGAAAAAGAAAGGTTTCACAACAGAATGAAATGAAAATTAGAACAGCCCATAAACAACCACAAACATTAACAAATAAGGGCGTGGTGAGTCCACCTGTCCGAAGAAGATTGGCTGTTTTAACACTAAATGTGCGTAATTTTAAAACAAAGTACAGGATATTATTACAAGTAAATTATGGAATCGCACACATTTAAGGGGCCTGCCAGTGTCAATACATGTGATCGGTTTTGGTGGAACGTACGCTCTTACATAACACATTTAAATCTATATATATATTTATACATGTACCGTATATATTTAGAATCTTATGAAGGTAGGAACATCAAATTAAATGACGTTACACTATTAAACCCCCCCCCCCCCCCCCCCTTTGTCCCCATAAAAAAAAATTGATAAAAAAACAACACATCAGAACAATAACAAGAAAGAAAAAAATACACACTAACAAAATAAAACACCACAAAGAGGGAAAAATAAAAGTAACTGTACTGTAACGTATTCAACAAATCAACGTGGTGACAACAAGTGAGAAAGAGACGACGTGAAATTAGGTGAACTTTCTTTCAAAAGTAAAGAGGTTCGGTTTCTTTCTTTTTTTTCTTTTTTTTTTCTTTGACTTTTATTCTCCGATTTGGGGACCAAAAATGCCAAAAAATCGAGCCACGATTGATTGGTCGCGGCCGCGACAAACGCAGATATCTATGCTAGTTCTGTGTGTCGTTATCAATAACCCTCCGTAGATCTAGACTAGACAGCACACGAGTGAACACAACACATTAAGTTTAAGAGCAGCACCCTTCATAGGCAACACGTCATATCTGTAGCGAAAAACTGTTTGAAACTGTAGCGTTTCTTTATAAATATTTACTGCGGACATTTTTTGGACCGATTGAACCATATTGTATACGAACAATCTTTGGTAGGCCTATACTATAATTATAGATCTATATAATATCCGAAATTTGCGGAAAGGATGTGATTTCAGAGTGTTCGGAGAAATAGTGCCTAGCTTTATTTCCCCGAACGTTCGGAGAAATAGTGCCCAACTTTATTTTCCCGAACGTTCGGAGAAATAGTGTCGGCCTTTTGTTTTGCCTGGAAGTTCTCGCGCTACTCCTCTCTCTCTCTCTTTCTCTCTCTCCACTGCCCACAGACAAAATTGCACGCTTTTAGGCTAACACTAACAGTAGTAATAGATCTAGAACGTTTGTTCACAGCACAGAATTCTATAATTCTGTTATCACAGTGTAGAATTCTGTGGTTCAGGGTGAACACTTCACTGGTTGGCCTAGGCTATAAAGGTGAACGCCCACCGGGTGAGAATAGCCAAAAAACTCGCCTGCGCTATTCTCACCCCGGGTGAGAATAGAGGTGGCCATCTGTAGATTCTAGGCTAGGCCTACACTGTTCAACTGTGTTAGCTCTTGTCCTGCGTCTGTTTAATCTACAACTCTCTCTCAGAAGTTCTGACGGCTCAATAGACAGTGCGTCTGCGTTTGAAGTCGTGCAATGATTTTTGGAGCTGTTCGATCCTGGTCCCGGACAGTTTTTCTTTCTCTTCTCCTCCTCCCGACTGACCAACAGTCCCAAATTATAGGCCTAATTTATAGAGTTACGGCTTTTAAGTTGTTTAAAAAAAGTATATATATTAGTGATTAAAAATGCAGGAGAAGGGAGGGGGGGGTAGATCTAGATCTAGAATATGCGCGGACACAATTATGAATGTAAAGAAATCAGTCACATTGTCAGTTATTGCAAATGGTCATAGAAACGAAAAAGAAAGCTGGAAAAGTCTGGTGCTGATTCAGTGTCCCTGGAAAGCTAGAAATTATAATAATTATTCTTATTTATAACCCAATTATGAGAAGTCATCTCTATTATTCACTCAACTTACAAAACCTAGACTTAGCGTTTTAAGAAAAGTAAGGAATTTCAGGAGTGTAACAGATACTGTTTGTGTATTACATTGAAGATGTATTCTGGCACTAAAATCGATTTGTACTTTTCATAGAGAAACTTCATGGTAACTTTTATAAACTTTTTTAAAAAATATGCGAATATTCTCGATTATATTAGAAACATAAAGTTGTATTTGGAGGAATTACTTCATAGCGAATTGTGTGCCCGATGGATAAAGTTGCAAAGTTACAGCTTTCTATTATATGCGCAGATACCATCTTTTCTGAGTATCTGCACCAATGCTATGTCGTTCATGTCCCAAAAGTTCGACAGATTTTGTCGAGGCTTTTTTTTATATTGATTTTTTTTCATTCTCGCTAGTCAAAAAAAAATTACAATTTAGCATTGCCGATTCCAGCGCGTCTAACAAAACAACCAGACAAGTTACAACATCCGTTCTTTTTTTAGTCTCAAGAGCAGAAATGCATGCTTTGGTTACACTAAAAGAGAATTACCATAAATACAAGAGGCAACTAAAATTCCACTGCTGGTGCGCCGTGACTGACACACACACACACTTGACCTGCGTGAATGGGGATCCGACTCCGAACCCGAATTTCACGTAAGATGGTGCGCGTGCGCTGAGCCGGGGGCTGCTCTGATTCGGGACCAGAACGTAGGCGAGGTGCCGAAATAGGCTTATCGGGCGACATAAACCCGTCCCCCGCAAGACGAGGGTTAATGTTTCTCTTGTACAGCATGGTTTACACTGGGGATGGGCAGTTACCTGTACCCAGTACCGGAACTTTCGGTTCTACCGAAGGAGGTGTCAGTACTGGCACCAGGCCTCCAGTACCAGCTCTGGGAAGGAGCTGACACCAACGATTAGTAAGCCTTTCGGATCTGGGAAGGAGCCGACACCAACTGGCCACAGGAAGTGTGCTGTGTCAACTGTGTGTAGGCCTAGCAGCTGTGACGTCAGATGCACACAACGCAGTGTGTGACCTTGATACATGACCAGATTTTAAAATTGACAATCATATTATCAAAAATGCAGTTTGGTTAAATTTAGATAGGCCTATCTATTGCATCAAATCAGGTTCCACGGGAGCCATTTTGCTTTTTCTCTAACTTGTAGTTTTATTAAACGTATCTCTGCATTAAACATTAGGCCTACTTTTCTCCTCTATGTGAGTGGATGGGTTTAAACCCTGGTCCTGCAGGAGCCGGGTTTGTGTTCCCTGATGAGCGTATTTTGACACGCTGTTCCAAAAAGGAAATCAATTTTTAGCGGCGATAATTATTTTTTAAATTCTGACTGCAAAGTTTGGTCCCGTGCGGCGGCAAACTTAAAAGGTATGCTGTGTCACTGTTCACCTCTCAGTTTCTGTCGTGTGTGTGTTGGGAGGGGTGTGGACGGCGCTGATCGAGGGCGCAAGGGCACCTCCTGGTGTCACTCCCGGTGCTGGTACACTGGCAGTTCTCGGCACCCAATGCCAAGAAAGTATAGACACTGGGTTTCATCAGTATCAGCCAGCACTAGTTTACTCAGTCTACTCTAATAATAGGCTTACTAAAAGTATAAAAAGTAAAGGGCCCAAGCCCCTGCCTGGTCAAGCAAAAAAAAAAAAAAAAGCTTAAACTTAAATAGAATTATTGGCTCTTTTTTGGTGGTTTTTAACCCCCTTTATTTTGGCCTATTTTATTCAATTTTCGCAAAAAATTAAACTCGATTTTGTATTTGAGTAGATCTAATATCTAGATCTTCTAGATCGAGGTAGATCTAATTGATTTCTCAAAATTATATATTGTAATCATGAAGTGCATCTCGGAAATTGACTGTTGTCCAAACTGTTGCCATTGTTGTTTTGGTCAGAAGTGGAAGTACAATTTGGCCAGCCGTTCATCGATATCGTTAGCTTATTGCCAAGTTGGAATGTGAACCATTTTGCGTTTCAATTACTGCTACAAAGAAGAGTTTAACAAGTAATTTACGTTCATGTACAGTACTAGATCTAGAGGAGATTCATAAGTCGAAATCTCTTCAAATATTCGATCCAGGCCAATGTATCAGTAAAGTTTTAACTCGATTATATTATATTCCCGAAACAGGAAAATAGGCGAATAAATATTGGGGGGTGGAAAAAGCACCGAATTATTTCCCATGGCATAGCATTAGATCTATTCACTTTATTTTGTCGTAAATCCTTTGTGACTCCCCTCCCCCCCCTCTCTCTCTCTCCTTTCTCTCTCTCTCTCTCTCTCTCTCTCACTTTTGTTTGTGAAGGAAGATCATTTTATATATAAAGTATGAAGAAAGACTCTTGACTTTGACTGTGGAAGCGGGTACTACATTGCGTTTTTCAGCATTGTTTGCAGGAGCAGCATAGCCTGTGCCAATTTTACATAATGTTTGTCATTTTGTCACTTTTCACGAGTCCTATCAATGTGTTTTGATCTTTATTTTATGATCTGTTTGCAGGAGTCTTTCCAAGATGCTTGTCATAAAAGCTGTAATAAAGAAAGACTCCCTTGAAGATGTTGAGACAACATTGGGGGGAGATTTACAAGTTTACTCTGAAATGTGGGGGCACCGTCGTGTCGCTGTCTCAAAATGGTTAATTTGTGGGAAAGTTTCAGTAAATCATTTACTGTAGTGATCCTGCCTATGCACTCAAAAGGAAGTGTTTAATATATAAGGCTTAAGGGGAGGAGCGAAACTTGATTTTGCAGATTTTGTTCAGGCTACGCAAATTTTATGTTGGCTGATTTTTTGAAGATCAACCAGTTTTTTGTCTAAAAATAGCATGGATACTCTTGAGATAGTCTTTATTATATTCTCCTCGTAAAATACCTTTGAAAACACGAGGATGGGTTAAAAGAGTGAATTTTCGCAATAATTGTCGTTTTTCGCAAAATTTTATTTTTTTGCAGTTTTTTCCCTACTCCTTCCTTAGTTTTAGTCCTTTTGACATGAAACTTTCATGAAACATAGATGGCAAGAGATTTTTCTATGCCTGACTTTAATGTGAACTTAGATTTGATCTTGGGCAACAAACATAGAAAATGGTCCTCAAGGGTAGCTCCTCCCGTTAAACAAAGAAACTTTTTATTACTGGATCAAGATTTTTTTTAAATTATACATTTGTTTGGTTGCTAACCTACAGAAGTGCCATGCAAAGTTACATGGGCACCTGCAAATTGATAAATGAGCTACAATTTTCTAATGGGGACAGACAAAAGTGAACAAGCTATCTATAGAGACAAACAATCGAGCCTGAACAATTGCAGTCAAACCTGTTTTAGCTGCTGTCTCTATAAGACAATCACTTATACAAGCGGTCACTCCCTATTTCATTCCTTGCATGTTTTGTACTATAGAGTAACACTAAGTTAGATGGTCACCTCTCTGAGACAGATACTTTTCTGCTCAACAATGGGCAGCCGTCTTAGACAATTTTTACAAAAAAATTTCAAGTCTTGATATCATCCATAGATCCTTCTACATAAAGTTTTTTTTGGTGGTGGGGGGGGGGGGGACTTTTTTGGGGGGGTTCTTTGTTTTTTTTTCTCCAGAAACAGGTTCCTGATAATTATTTTATTCCTCCATTTTTGTGTCTTCAGGTATCCTCTGAACAATTACACATTTGGTACCAAGGAGCCTCTCTATGAAAAGGACAGTTCAGTCCCAGCCAGGTTTCAGCGCATGAGAGAGGAGTTTGACAAGATTGGTATGCGCAGATCAGTGGAAGGAGTACTGATTGTGTATGAGCATGGCTTGCCTCACGTACTTCTGCTGCAGCTGGGAACTACGTTTTTTAAACTGTAAGTGTTTCCAAACACAACATGGTTTTTAGTAGTAGTAGTTCTCTTACTTGTAATTTCTATCATATCAGTGTTATAAGTGACAAATTGGGTGCTTTGTTTGTAGTTTCTGATGCTGATGTAAAAATTAACTGACACTGAAGCCTCAGCTTTGTCTTCCCGAGAAGTGGTAGAGATGTGGTAACAACTGTGTTTCAATGTCTTCCATTCTCGTTTACCGGGGGGGGGTTATATTTTTGAAACCTTGTAGCTTATTGTCTTTTTCAGTAGTTGGATCTTAATTGGAATTAAAACGAAGTTTTTGATTACAGGTTTCCCGTACATTTTTATGGTTGTTTTCTTAATATGGTGTGATAATCTGCTGACCTTGAGAGAAAATGATAACTGTCCATAGAGATGGTTGAACTACCAATTCTTTTTCATTTAAAAAAAGGGTGATGCTTTTAGTCTCTAAGTTTATATAATTGATAAATATTTATTTAAATGTTTTTTATTTTAGGCCAGGAGGTGAGCTCAATGCTGGTGAAGACCAGGTTGATGGACTGAAGAGACTACTTACTGAGGTTTGTGTGAACGCATTAGCAAAGAAATAGAACATTTTGCCTTTGGATCTCGGTAGAACATAATTGAGGTTGAGAATGCACTAGACTGCAAATAGTTATTGCCAAGATTGCTCTCCGTGGTTACCACTGCTCGGATGGACATAATTTTCCTATCTGAAAAGGGTTCTTCTTTTTTTTCGAAAGAGTCAGATGTGCTCTAAAGGTGATTGTGTTTCTGCTCACAGAATTCTCTACCTGAACTGATGGACATGCTCAAAGGCAAATTTGGGCGCTCAATGATTAATGATACACAAGGCTTCTCTCTTTATTTTGCAACAGGTCATATACATTTCCAGTCAAATTGCAATACCCAGATTGGTCTTTGAATATAGTATTACTTTTGCAGTGGTTTTTGAACTTTTCTAAGCCCTCAATCCTGTCTTTGAACAATTCCATTAATTACTTCCCCTCTGCCTTAACCATTTTGCAAGAACTTTAATTTTATTATTTGGTATACAGTAGAAACTGTCTTAGACGAAAGAGCAAGCTCTATTGTTGACGAAAAAAGTGGTTATCTTTGACAGGTGGCAGTCTTACACAGTGTCATTTTAATGTAAAAAATACACAAGAGAGGAAATGGGAAGTAACCTGTTTGTACAGGGGATTATCTTATACAGGTGGCTGTTAGAGCCGGTTCGATTACAATTTTTTTTTTTTTCTTTCTATCATTTGCTCTTTTTATGGAAATATAGAGTATTGAAGCAATGTATTTCAATGTACTTCTTTACTGCTCTTCCTCTAGGGTATGAGGGTAAGGTTATGTATTAATAATAATAATAATAATAGATAGCATTTGTATAGCGCAAATCCCCGCTGTACAGCAAGCTCTATGCGCTTCTCAATCTATACTATTACCCCAGCAGACCTGAGAATTATTCTCATAATTGTCATTTTCTGGTTACAGTAGCAATTGATTTTTAAACAACAAATATTAGAAGTTGTTGGCCCTGGACCTGACCTGTGAGTAGGACATAATTAGGGAGAGTGGTCAAGAGCATTTTGGTTGACTTAATTTCAAATTGTATTGTGTTTGCAGCTTTCATAGTTTATCCCATCGTCTTTAAGGGAGAGGAATGACATGAAGAACAGTCTCTTGGGTGTGTATGTATGACTTGATATATGATGAAGACGAAGAGAAGAAAACGTAATACTGAAGCTGTTATATCTTGGTAGTATTTAATGTAGTAAGTAGTACTGAATTTTAGAATTAGAACTGAGAAGCACAGAACAACCATTCCTGTCAGTGGCCAGCAAGCAAGTGAAGTTTATTCAGTACTTGATGCGAGTAGTGAGTACTTCCTTTGTGTTGGACCAAAATAATCCACCCTTAGGCTACTCCAATGTCGGAGAATCCCACATAGGACAAGGGACAACACTCATTAATATTGAAGACCAAAGAAGTAGAAAAAAGTAATTATTATTTCCCTTGACTAAGACCAACACAGTAGGGTTGGGGCGAGCGGACGGACGGGTTCGTTACTCTCGGACTCAGTCAGAGCGAACGACGGACGGCCATGAGAGCGAACTGCGAATCTCAAGACAGTTCGTTTTTTTGGGTCCGCTCCACAATTTGACTCTCTCAGCGAGTGGACTGCGGACCTCAAGTCAGTTCGTTTTTTGGGTTCGCTCCACAATTTTATTCACTGGGCGGGCGGGCAAACGGACGAACTCAAGCAGACAAGATACTCGACGCGAGATTAGACCCATCGTCTATTGTTTGTTAATTAGGCCTAATGTTTGAAGCCACTAGCGGTGCCACGGGGAGTGGGAGAGGCTGGTGACGTAGCACTATGTGTGTAACCTTTCACCTCATGCGTGGGGCACACTGTGTACGTTCCAATTATCGCAACGGCCGGGAGGGGGGGGGGGGGGGGGGATTTCTGCCATGAACGCCTAGCTACAATGTGAGGCAGGGTGGTGATTTTTAAATTAATTTTTGGGGGGCGGGGGCGGGGGTTTGTAGGCAATAGAAGGAGTCGCGCCCGTCCGTCCGCCCGCTCGAATGCATGGAGTCTCTCGGTTTACCCGTCCGCTCGCTCGCTAAATGAACTGTTGTCTCTGCCCGATCTATAGCGAGTAGCGAACTACTCTTCACAAACGAACAGTTCGTTACCCATCCGCTCGTTTGCGGGTAGTGCCAGCGAGTAGTTCGTTATTCGCGGACGCTAATTTTGCGAGCCCGACCCAACCCTACAACACAGATATATTCAACCATGTTTTTTAAAGAATAGTATGAGTAATTCCTGTAATTATAGTATATTGCCAGTTGTTTTAAAATGTAGAAACAAACTTTAAATGGAATTTCAGGATTAACAAAATTCAGTTTTGTTAAGAGTTTTTTAATTTCCCCCCAGATGCTATGTAGCCGTGCCAGCTATTGTATTGGTCAACAATTTTATCTTTTCTGTATATCAACAGACTCTTGGCAGACAGGACGGTGCTCCCATGGACTGGGTCATAGAGGATACAATTGGCAACTGGTGGAGGCCAAATTTTGAACCATCACAGGTGAGACAGATAGCAACTTACTTTTTTAAAATATATGTGCTTGTTGAGAAGGGGAGGGGACATTTCGACAAAGTACCGACTCTGAGTCTTGGGGGGAAGGGGTCCAACTTCTGGTATCAGATTTATACTCTTGTTGGACAGGCCAAGATTTCTCTGACCTTGGAACTTGGCCACTTTATTGAAGTTGGAGGAAGTTGTGATGAGTACCAGATTGTGCAGGCTCTGTTTATGTTTGGTATTCAACATCAGGGGTCCTACATGTTTCTCTTGTGTCTTCTGCTGGATATTATAGATGATTTTATAGTGTGTGATCAAATGACTGCAATTGAGCTTTCAGATAGAATGAATGTAGTTTGATTTTTCAGCCATTAAACTAAATTTGAACTGATTGGTGTTATTTATGTGCGACAAACAATTGTGTGAGTGGATGGTTGGCGAATCTCTGGTGTGGTTTGCCTCTTCTTTCCTATGATCCTTATCTCTCCTCCTTCTGTTTTGTGTATGTTACTCTCTTGTAAGACCTGCAATCTTCGAAGATTATAATGACCTAATTGTGTTGCAAGTTCTGTGGAACTCTGACTAAAAGTAAACGAAAGGCAATTGTGTAGTCAACTCATTCTCTGTGCATATTTTTTTCTTATATTTACATGTAAAAGTACTGTTATTGTGTCACATACATTTTATTTTATTTAGAGTTTTTCAGGAAGCATATATAGATTATAATCTTTTTCACAAAAATGACTAAATTTTTCCGTAGAGCATAAACCTGTAAAACATTATTCTGTGCTTTCAAGTCATAATTATTTCTTTTATTTTTGCAGTATCCCTACATACCAGCTCATATCACCAAGCCTAAAGAACACAAGCGTCTCTTCTTGGTGCAACTTCCAGAAAAAGGTAAGCTTTATTTGAAAGCAGCACATGTTATGCAATGGGGAAAACTATGGTTTTGATGATCACACTGCAATTCTTACGAATGATAGACCTCCTTTTCCAAAAAATTGAACATATGCTGATAGCCCACCTATAAGCAATGCGTTAGCAAAGTCAATTAGGAGAACACACTGGAAGTGTGATGGGACATCATTTCTCTGAAAAAGTATTTTAACTGAAATAGATTTGCTCATGTAATGTCAGAACACTTTTCAAATGTTCATGATTAGTGTGGGTGGGGAGGGGGGGCTGACAAAGAAAGTTGTAGTAATAATGGAAATACATTTCCAATTTTGAGAGGACTATTTACTCATTGTGTACTTTTTAAAAATGTCACAACAAAGTCGACTCCTCCGCCCGCCCCTTCCCCCGAAATCATTATTATGTATGATTGTGAATTGTTACTGGTGTCTCAAATTCTCTGTGGGTGATTGGCAGACCCTCTGGTGTGGCTTGCTCTTTCTTTCCAATCGAATATGTATTTCCTTATTTCCCTTCCTTCTTTTCTTTGTTACTCGCTAGTAACACTTCCAATCTTGGGCACTTGTATGACCCATTTGTCTTGCATGTGCCACAAATCCCTTGCTAAAACTGAACTAAACAAGCTGTCATTAGTTAAAAATGTACTCTTTGTCATTCTCAGCCCTGTTTGCGGTTCCACGCAATTACAAGCTTGTAGCAGCTCCCTTGTTTGAACTGTATGATAACGCAGCAGGGTACGGCCCAATCATTTCCAGTTTACCGCAAGCTCTAGCCAGGTCAGTACCTTATGTGGTTTTGTTTAACCTTCACTTGCTTTATGTTGTTCTGTGTTGTCAATGTTCCCCACAGATGTGCATGCTGCTTTTTTTTTTTCAAACAATACTCTTTTCAGCTCGTTAGCATTGTACAGTTGTATTACACCAATATCTTTTATGGATGTATGGGGTTTTTTTATTTGCAGGACACAAAGTTATGTTTACATTTTTAACTTTGGCTGCAAATGGTTTTATAGCCTATTCACTTTCGTCTGTGCATGTTAAAATAAATTCTAGTCTATTTGTTAATTTACTTATGCTCATGAAACTTTGTATGCCGCTTCTGCAGGCCGGCAACCAAACAAAAGTATTATTGTTCTTAAATCTTGATCCTGTGATAAAAACATTTTTGTTTTTGAACCCTTTATTAAAAACCACCGCTCTTTCGATGCATACACAGGATCATTTAACCCTATTCGTATACCCTGGGGTCATTTTGTACCCCCCAGGGTTGTATTCTTCACATTTTAGAATATTTCTAGTACAAAGATATCCTTGAAACTTTCAGTGTTTCTCAAAAAATCATTTTGACAGACTGCTATCAAAGCGTACGGATCGGATTAAAGAGTAAATTTCGTCTTTGGAAAGTGATGGCACAGAGTTCCCCTCGTCGTGTGGATACGATAGTAAAACACGACGTACGGATAGGGTAAAATAAATGACTTACACTAACTTTGCCCACAAATTGCTCATTTTGAGACAGCCACACCACCCTGCCTCTATATTTCAGTGTTAGTTTGTAGATTTCATCCTGCAGTTGTCTAGACGTCTTCACATACTCCCTGTGAGTCTAAAAAATTACTCACCCTGTTTCTTGAATCGTGTTTCTTATACAAATTATGTTAAAGTGTGATGGTGAGAAAAATATGTCAACTTTTAAATGTGTTGGGTGCATGCTGTAAATCCCCTAATATTTTTTTTACCCACTTTATCCTTTCATCAAAGAAAACGTGTTGGAACCTTAGTTTGCAGTGACCTTTATGAATGGGCTTTTAAATTCTGTTGGCCATCCAACTTTTACACTCATGTGCAAAGATCTGAGAGGATTAAACAGAGCGATTTCATTTTATCTTCTTTTAACCGTGGTCAGACGAGAGTGAACAAGCTATAATTGCTTTTCTTGTTGGAGGGGACATAATCGACTTCGAAAATTGCAACTTATTGACGGGCTTCCGACAATAACTCGGTTATTTCCCCTGCTCTACAGTCTTGCGTTCTTCTCCAAACAAGAGGTGAGCGAATAAACGCTCAAGTTGTCTTTTTGACACACAAACTCTCTCTCTCTCTCTCTCTCTCTCTCTCTCTCTCTCTCTCTCTCTCTCTCTCTCTCTCTCTCTCTCTCTCTCTCTCTCTCTCTCTCTCTCTCTCTCTCCCACCCCCTGCTCACCCCCTCTCTCTCTCTCTCTCTCTCTCTCTCTCTCTCTCTCTCTCTCTCTCCCTCTCTCTCTCTCTCTCTCTCTCCTCCCCCTACCCGACTATTGATATTGTGAGGATGTTGGTTTGGCAGAAGCAAAAATGCTGCTCTTGTTAATGCTTAATTTCTTTTAGCCGTATGAAAGTGTTTACCTACCACTACTCTTGGCTGCTACTTGATGCTTGTGGTCTGTTTATACTTCTAAACAGTATAATGCTTTTAATTTTAGATTGTTGAAAGACTTTCTTGTGTAGTTTTACCTTTTCTTTCTTTTTGCTGTTGTTGTTATCCTTGTCTATTTCTGGCAAATAAAATAGAAGCAACAGAAATATGTTTTTTTTAGAAGACCTGTGAAATTTTATGGATGGAAAAGAAATCAAACGAGGACATACTGAACGAAGTCCGAGTGGGTTGCTCACAAATAAGAACAATTTGGGCGCTACAAATGCAGTTCCGTGGACTCTTGAATTAACATAGAGGCTTTGAACATCTTGCTTTTAGGGGGAAAGTAGAAGGCAAATAAATCAGGAGTAGACCCAGAGAAGTTTTCTTTGGAAAACCTGAACAAATTGGCAGCAGGGAAACACCAGGATAATATAGAAGTTTTTTGAGAGCATCCAAGCAGAGATATGAATGGCAAGGCATGATCGTCAATGTCTGTTTGATATCTGGCTCTTTATGATGATGATTCCCAGCAGTATGTATCTGCTGTAATGCTGACTACTATAAGAAAGCTATACCTCAGTGAACTTTTGTTCTTGGTTTTATGGTTTCTCTTCCCCCATCCTCCTTCCCCCCCCAAAATTCAGGAATTCAAAAAATATTTTGACCTTTTCTTGTTTGCAGTGCAGCCTCAAAGACAATAAAACAGATATTTTAGTAGTTAGAGATGTATGCTAGTCTTGCAATCTCGTAGCTTACTTAATGTCTTATTTTGCTGCCCTGAAACTGCACCGTACTTTCTCTCTTACTTCCACTGGTTTTGGTTCCACAAAAATGACACTGTCGAGTATTCTTTTTTGACTCACTCAATGCAATTGCATTACGGGAATATCCTAATCTTTGTCACAGATTAGTTTATGGTTCTCTTTCAAAGTAATCAAAGTGTGTTTATTTTTCTTTCGTTCATTGCAAAATGTCTCAATTAACTTTATACTTGCTTTTGCTGTTTTCACTGTGTTTGCATTTATTAAAATTTGTCGATGAAGATGCTAGCTACAGGATCCTTGACTTTCACTTTCATTGCTATCTTTAACTTGTAAAATGTCTCCTTTTTTTGGGGGGGGGGGGTTTCGAGTTCTTGCGTTTGGGTTTGCGGAAAGGCTTCTCTTCTGAACTGTTCGATGTTTTAATGGTTGGATTATTATAAATGGACATCAAAATTTGTGTTTGTTCGTTTACCTTTTATGTTTGTTTTTTGGGTTTTTTTTACTGAGGGTTTACACTAATTAGAATGCTATTTTGTTCATTTTGGTTCTGTCTTAAGTTGTTTTGTTTGGTTTTTATTGTTTGTTTTTCTTGGGGGGGG